TGTGTGTGTGTGTCTGAGTGTGTGTGTGTGTGATGGTGATGCTGACAGAATCTCTCGTGTTTTTCAGGCTATGCTCACGTTCTGTCCGCTGATGAGGCAGAGAAACACTCCGTTCATGACGTGGTGATGCCACTGCCGGGGTTTGACGTCATTTATCCCACTCACAGCGGTGAGGCATTATGGGAGAATCTGGATATATGAGGAAGCCTCATTGTAAAAGTGTGATTTCTAGACATGGAAGAGTTAGAGAAGTCAGAAATTCATAAAATGGTAAAATGCCATTAATAAATGTAGATTTTTTAAACTGTGTCAGTCTCTAAAATATTTTAAAAATATATTGTCTACAAATATTTTAGTGGGTAGATATTGTGAGTAATCATGGTGGCGGGTTGAATATAGTTGAATTATAGTATGGTTAATGGGGGCTTTGGAGTTGCAAAGATTAAGAAACACTGAGAAGACGGTTTGTGTGCTTTAGCATCAAGAGAAGAAGCAGCTCTGCTCGTCCGTTTTTCAGCCGCTGATCTTCTTCGGCTGGTCAGATGTGTTTTCTGTTGGTGGTGTTTGATTCCTCACTGGTGTTTTGGCCGTTTGTGCGTCTCCTGCAGTGGGTGGAGGCTACAGAGACATGCTGAGCGCTGATGACCTGGACATCGATAGCATGAGGCACAAAGTTCGGGATTACTCTCTGGCCGGTGCTTACAGGAGGATCCTCACTCGCCCCAGTGACGTCAGCTGGTGAGTGAGCTTCGTTAACTCGCTCTGCTCCTGTGCTTTGAGCTTGAGCTTTAGTTCTGATGGAGTTCATCTGATCTTTCTTCTCCAAAGGGAGCTGATCCAGTATGATGATCCACGAGTGCCTCTTGTTCACACAGATGTGGTGAAATTAGAAAACGCTCCAGCTCCGGTTTACCTCAAAGGTCCAAAACACACACATTTACTCAGCTCTCTGAATAGGGACGTTCTATAGACTTCTGTTGGTTTATTCTCTGCCTGGCCAAAAAATGTCACACACTCTTTTTCGTTGCACCGTCTTTAGCTTTGATCACAGTGTGAATTGTTTCCACAGCCTTGCACAACATCACAACATTTATTTCCATCAAAGGTTGCATTAATCTTATATTGCCAATGGGAGAGTGGAAGCACTCTGTATGTGATGTCAAGTCACCTTTATTTGTGTAGCGCTTTATACAATACTGAGTGTCACACAGGAAAATAGTTTGTCAATAAAGCAAGAAGACAATAACAGAGTCATTTTTCCAGCTAAAGTCAGTTGATTCAGTGATGTCATCATCCAGTTCAGCTTTCTTCCAATAGTGTCTGTGCAATCAGTCAAGTGTCCCCAACTAAGCAAGCCAGAGGCGACAATGGCAAGGAACCAAAACAGAATGGAGAAAAAAAACCTTGGGAGAAAACAGGCTCAGTCGGGGGGCCAGTTCTCCTCTGGCCAGACGAAATCAGCATGATGTGGTTTAATTCCAGCCTGCAACACAGGTGCAGAGGACTCAACTGGTTCCTCTGGTCTTGTGGCGATGGTCGTCAAGGTGACGAGGTCTTTGCAAGGGATCTGTCTCTGGGGCACATCTAGTTGGCGTGGTCTCCGCTGACATTCAGGGCTGTAGAGGTCGTCTCTAGGTACTGATCCACCATCTGGGCTGGATCTGGTGGCAACGGTGACCTCAGAATAAGAAAGAAACAGACTAATATTAGCGTAGATGCCATTCTTCTAACGATGTAGCAAGTACATCGGGTGTTTCTGGTTCCAGTTGACCTAATTAATGCAGCCTAACAATCCTTTAACTAGGGCTGTGCAAAAAATCGAATGCGACGATTCATTGCCGATTTTGAACGCGATTTTGCGTAGCTTGTCAGTGATCTACGGCTGTGTAGTAAATGCCGCTCCATCTGAAAGCACCTGCTGGAGATTTACTACTAATCACAGAACCGGCTTTACTGACGAGATGAGCATGAAAATCGCGTTAGATTTTTGCACAGCCCTACCTTTAACGGATTTGAATATTAGAAATGTGTTAGTGTGTTATGTGTAAGCCAGGTTAAAGAGATGGGTCTCCTAATTAATGCAGCCTAAAAATCCTTTAACGGATTTGAATTCTAGAAATGTGATAGCGTGTTATGTGTATGCCAGGTTAAAGAGATGGGTCTTTAATCTAGATTCAAACTGACAGATTCTGTCTGCCTCCCGAACAAATAGGTATATTGTTCCAGAGTTTGGGAGCTAAATAAGAAAAGGATCTGGCACCCGCAGTTGATTTTTATATTCTAGGTATAATCAAACTGCCAGAATTTTGAGATTGCAGCGGATGTGAAGGACTATAATGCGATATGAGC